CTTTTTTCATGCCACGTCACTTTTTAATCCAGGGTACGGATAAAAAAGGACCAAAATTGATGAAATCGACAAATTATAGGATCTAAATTGAAAGTGGTCAATATAGGGGTAGTTTTTTGGACAATGGCCAAATTATAGGACCAATTTTGAATTTTTGCCATATTATTACTACAGAAACTTTTTGTAATAGTATTAAAAAAACTAAAGATGACAAATTTGGTGAATATGCATATGCTTAAGGACGATTGAATGAAGAATGATTCTTCATCATACAAACTGTCAATTTTTTGTGGAAAAAAGTTATTCGTTAAGTGAAAAATATATAATCTTAAAATATTTTGTTTAAATTATTCACTAAACAATATGCATAATATGATTTAAGTTTACCTGTTAATAATAGTATGTATAACATAATGCTCTTTTATGATAGTATGTGTTACATAAATTAATCTACTATCTATTTTAATTGTAATATAAATCAAAATAGAGTAATTATAAAAATTAAATAAAATACCTAAAACTCTATTTTAAATCTTGAATTTCATAAAATGTGCACTTATTAAAAAATAGTTACAATTAAAATATGCTAAATATAAGTAAATAGTACATTTACTTTAAATTTTTTGTCATTAGCCACTCTTATTTATAAAACTAGCATTAATTTTGTGAAAATGCACATGTTACCAAAAATAAATAAATATTATATATAAAAATCATAATTGAAACAAAATTTTACTCAATAGTATTTATAATTCAATTAAATTAAAGACACTTAGTTGAATTTTTATACTTCGATAAAAAAGAACAATAGAAATGTAAAACCTATATATTAATGACTATTATTATATGAACATAATGAATAATCTAATTTATATATTAACGTTGTATTAATTATAAAATTATTACCAAAGTAAAAAAATATAAAATATAAGATGGACAATGTAAATCTTATATACCTCATAAATTGATCTTTTTTCAGAGAATTATCGAACAAATGATATACATACTTGTTGATAACCGAGTTAGCCATGAATGAACTGGAAACTTGACCCCTCAGGAACCGGGCTGAAGACCCGGTCTGACACCGGGGAGCCGAGCTGAACCGAAGATTAAAAGTATACCGGACCGTCATGGGAACGGTTTCACTAGACCGGCACCCGGCTCAGCCCGTACAGTGGCCGACCTGAGAGAGTGCCGGGTAGGAAGTAGGCTACTAGTCGTCTCGTGAACACGTTCGAGTTAAGTGCCGACCTGAAGATTCTGGATGGCCGACCTGAGGGAAAGGACGGGACTCGATGAACATTAAAATATTCCCATTTGGAAGACCAACACTGGATGATGGGACAAGTTATCATAGCCTAGTACCCTACCCGCAGGCCTAGTCAATAAAGCCTACCAGCATTAAATGTCCCCTATACTGGCATTTAATGCCTGACAGGTAATGATTGAAGAAACCTCAAATCGCATTAAATAAGTGTCAGAGAGACGCCGAACTGCTCTGCAAGACCACTGTGCGACAAGACCGGTGAACAGTAGCTGAACAGTACCACATTAAAGACTACTATAAATAGCAGCTCACTTCATTTATTTTAGGTTGTTGAATCTCAACTAATTCTGCGATCTCTCTACTTTCTCTCTCTAAGTTGTAAGAAACTCC